CAGGAAGAAAAAGTACTGAATGCCCAGGGGCACCTGTAGCCCTCAGTTGTGTACTATTCCAAATCTCTCTAGCATATATACACACACACACATATATGAATATATACATTTTTGTGTATATATATATACACACACACACACTTTCAGTAGAAAAGTAAGGATTCCTCATGGAAGTCATAGAACAATTTCTGGCTTCATATGCCTTTTCATGCTTGCATGGATGCTCCCTCTATAAACCTTCAATATATGTATTTGCAATCTCACCTGAGGAAAAGGTGTTAATTCAACTTCAATAAGTAATTAATACAAGAACTTCTTACATACTGTAGAGGCACAAGGGAATTGCATCCATTCAATAATGCATAGCACCCAAAATGGGCCCAGAGGTCTTCAAGAGTGCCAGCATTAATACAACCGCAGCCCTCTCATTCTTAAAGATTAAGCCTCAGATTTTGCTATATGGTAAAACAAGTGATCCAAGAGAACTTCTAAGTTTGTCATTGAAATGGCTTTAAAAGCCACTTCCATTTCCTGGAAGGAAATTCCACTGAAACAAAATCCCTCCCTCTTCGCTGAAATTTCTTGAAAGCAATGGTGACTTCAAATTAGTTTTGTGTAAGCAAACAAGATATCTCCTTATAAAACAAATTTTTGAATTTTGCAGACTAAAAAATGGCATGGATTTTTAATAATGCACTAATTGTATTGGAGGGAATTTCTAGTGTACATGTGCTAATTGCCTCATGTTCTAGTAAACCAATTTCTTATTAACCCTTGCTCTAAGGTTAATGTTTATGTTTTGGCATGAAAAACAGTAGTCTAGTGTTAACTATGTACTGTTCATGGGACACTGCTTTCCTGAGCCTTATTTCAAGCTTTCACACACATTTGCAAGAGTCAAGAAAGAAGACCATGTTTCACCTGCATGCATTCTGTAAGAAAAGTAAGCTTCTCAATAACTTAGTACAACAAACAGATGCTTACCTCAACAATTCTCTCAAACATATGAGCCAGGGGCAGGAATGATATCAGAACATCATCAGTGGAAGGTGTGAATGATTTCTGGAAGTGTTAGCAAAAGTTTAATTCTCACTGAGTCTCTATTTTGCCCAAGTTAAACACAACTATAAAATCTAGCATCTGAACTCTAGAGCACAGCCCCTGCTTCAGTTTTGTTTGTAATGAAGTTTCATTGTTTTTCTTTCATTAAAAAATTACCAGCAATGACTTACTAGCATGAGTAAAGACACAGCAGAAACAATAATCTTTTTGAATTGAGTACAGTGACTAGATTATTGCAACTTGTCATACATAGAATTCTGAAGAGAAATAAAATCTGATAGAAATCATAGAATTCCATTACATATATTGGGAGGGTAGGGGAGCAATAGAGATTAAAATACTACTGGTTTGAAAACATGCACTTTCATCTTAGATTAGTAAATTTGTTTATCCCATTTACCCTAAGGTTGATATCAAAAGTACCTCACATGAGCTAATTGTGAGACAGTTTTTTAATTTAAAAACAGTACTCCTTGAACTAATGAAAAACACTATAAGCCCATGGCAGAATGTAATGTACATTCATATCAGGATCATTATATCACATTGCTTACATCAGAACAGACTGGAAATCTGTTGGGCTCTTGACCCTGACAGAATAACCAGTAAACACTGACTTCTGACTAGTGGGCACAGGGTGCTGTCAAGTTACATTTTCACTTGGATCTTAGTAAAGCTTAAGACCAAAGTTAGAGATTTCAGTATTTGTTTTGATCATGAGATTATTTCTCCCCGAGCAAGAACACAATGTTTATCTTTTCAGTTTACCTCTGTAGTTTTCACAAAAGCTGAAGCATTGCTGACTATGTTTTGATGAGTGATCATAGCTCCTTTAGGGTTTCCTAAGGAAGAAAGACATCAGGATTCAACAGTGAAATTCAGATCCCTGAAATTAAGGTAGCAGAGGCAAAACTAATGTGATAGCATTCTTTGATATTAATACATTTCTTTGTGTATCAATTAAAATTCTGTCAAGAACAGCTGGCAACAGTTAAGTAATCAGTTTGTGATGAAGTCTTATAACTTTTTAAGGAACCCAAAGATGCAGCTACCAAATTCAGATTAATTTCTGTTCTCACATCTGTTTTAAAATATGTTGCTTGCTGCTGTATTCTTTCCTTATGCTCCATGCCAGTGGACATGAATTTCACAAATGTTAAGCAAGTAGCATCTAGACAGTCTGTTTTGATCTTACAGCAAGGTTGCTTAGACCTATGGAACAACTTTGCTGATAAAGTAAAAAAAAATACTATGGAAGAATTGATAGTCTGAAGTCTGATACAGAGCCCTTAATATCTAAACACAAATTCATTATTTATTTCTAAGTCCAAAAACATAACACTCCCCCAATACTGCATCTCAGTATTAATATGCTGTAATGCAGTTAGGAAAAATGGTATGGCCCAAAAAATGTACCCCCAAAAATGCAGACTTGTAAGTTTCTTTCCCTTATCTTGTTCTCCCAGTTCCCCTTATTGGTTGTGTAAATCCCCCACACCCCTTTCCCCAGTCTTGAAAAAGGACTGCTTATTGATACCTCTTGCTCTTTCCCTCCTGCATCTCACCCCGAAGGATCCCAAGGAATAAAGCTGTAACTTCATCTCAGCAAAGGGAAAGAGCTCATTTTTAGGGTCTTCTTGGCAAGCTGATCTATGTCCCCTGCCTCCCTGGCTGCTGTGGGGCAGACAGTGGTAGCGGAGGGGCAGGGGACACTAGAATTTTGGCATTAGTAAATGGGGAAAAAAATTAAAAATCCAAAGCAACTTTATCATAACACTACCCCAGCTACTATTTGCCAAAACGTGCAACAGCAGGAGGATATCTTGGGAAAAAAAAACCAAAAACCAGTAGTAGAAGGGCTTCTGAATTAATTTTGCACATACAGAATAATAAATTCTATATAATGTAATGAGGTGTACCTGTTGTTCCACTAGTGAAACAGATGACTGCTAGATCTTCTGGCTTTGGAGGCTATGAGAGTTAAAAAAGTATTAGCATGGTTAAGACAGCAAGAAAAAATATTTTCCTGGACAAAATATCAGGATACTAGTGTTATTTCTCAGCTATGGGAGATAGGGAAATTTGCTAGTGTTATCTAAAGAATGCTAACCAGCTTCACATTGTCACTTGAACCAATTTCACACTTACCATAGGTTTTTGCCTGTGTGCTCTTCCTAGTTCCTACAGAAAGGAGAAAAGACAAAGTGTAGACATAAGAATGTAGCTTTCTTGATTTAAATTTATCAAACATAACTAAACACCATAATACTTCATAATGTAGACTCTCTCAAGGCATTTTAACTTGTTTAGCAATCCAGTGCAACAATCCCTGCCCATGGCTGCAGGGTGGATGGTATTAGATGATCTTTAAGGTTCCTTCCAACCAAACCATTCTGTGACTCTCTAGTGATTGTAAGAGTAACAAAAGCTTTAAAGCACATTTCAAAAATACATAGAATAACTACCATGTTCTACAAATACAAAAATGATAACTTAGCTAAAACTCACAGGGCTTTTCTGCAGCTAGTAAACTGGAAGTCACTCACTAGGGAAGTTGAAGGTTATGGTAAGACAACAATCAATCCTATACCTCAAGCAGAAGATGTGCCACCAACAATTATTAAATAAATGAAAGAAAATTCATCTCAGCAAGCACCTCCAAGGAAGACTGAGTTTCATTGCTGGTTTGAACTCCTTTTACACAAGAGAAACTCTCATCCAGAGCCCTTCTTCCTCCTTAGTTACTCAGAGCTGACCACTAATGTTAGGGTTCTTTAGACAGAAGAGAAAGGATATGAAAACCAAGTATACAGCAAGTAAAAGGAAATATTTGCAAGCCAATGTTGAGTATCTATAAGATTTAAAGTTTCAAACCAAGACTTAATACTGTCAGGCCTATTTAAAATTAGAAACAATACTAGCTTAAGAGCTTATGCAAATTAAAGAGGACCTTCTGTTAAGCATATCTTTGGAAGCAACCTTTGAGGGCAGACATCAACTTCACCACTGCCTTTACATTCCAGGTAACAATAACAGCATATGCATTCCTTTGAGCCCTAGACTTCTTTAGTATCATGTACCTCTTAGATTTACCCAGGGAGGTTGAAGACAAAGGGAATGTCTGGAAACACAGTTAACATCCCCATACCTGTAAGCTTGCCTTTTTGAAAGGGTGCGTTATGCAAAGATTTACCACTATGGCAACATAGCTGTCTGATCAAAACAGCACCTCCATTTCAAGTACCACCAGAAGCTCAGTACCTCCCTATAACCTGCTTTGAGTAAAATCTGGGATTTACTGAATATACAGCTAAAATCACCAGACACTTGTTTTGATCTCTTAGAACAAAACTCCACCACCTCTTCCTGTTAAAGAGCCATTTATTCAGAGTTACTCAGCTACAAGTAACCACATGATACATACAGATACTGGGCATCAGAAGCTAAGCTGATGGCTTCCAGGGGATACACAGAGAAACGGTTCACTTAACCCATGCACAGCTGAGCAATAAGCTCAAGCCAGAAATCCAGAAAACAACCAGTCAAAGCTAGAAATAGTATTCTAGTCTAATCTAAGCTCCTAAACAGCTCATAGTTACCTTTCAGGAGACACTATAAGTCTCTATCCCCTTAAAAAAAAACAAGTGTCAAAACCTTCCTGTTCACTGAAGGACTATTAGAATTATTTAAGCTTGCCTCTATACTTCCCCAAAAGGCTCTTGGAACACCTATTACTTAACACTTGATGTTTGCATTAATGAAGTAAGAGCTATATAGTACTACTGAACATCACTAAAGCATACAAACATCCTATGTAAAACATTTACCCTCAGTTTGGTTTTTCCATAGCTAGAAGATCCAGTGGAAAGCATCACCCTCTGTCAAAAACTGCAGTTCAACTCAAGGAAAGAAGTTCATTTTAGCCTAACAACTTACAGTTGGGCCACTTTTTCTAAGTTTAACCCAGCCCTTTGGACAGTGAACTATAAGTCACTTAACTTTAGCCTTATTTCATGTTTTTAGCTCCATTTTAACCTGGCACTTTTATGGATGCTAGTTTGCCAGTCAGTCTTCTTTTGAAAGAAGGCATGCTGACATTTTTGTATCTTTACCAGAAGGTGGCCCTATTAACATAGTTGTCTTAACTGCTATGAGAACAAGTTCAGTGAAATGAGGCATTTCACACCAGTTACTGACACCTGCACAAGACAAGCACATTTATCTGGAGATACTCAAAGTCTAGTGAGCCAAGCCTTCATCAAAACAACAGCTGAAACCTGGCTAAACCCAGTTTCACAATATTACAGTAAAGATGTACTTCATGCAATTTGATCCTGGAAGAGGGTTCTCCAAATGAGTGAAGTTATGAAATAAACTTGCATAAGAGATCTATGCAGACAAAAAAAACCTACAAGCAACACCAAGACTTGATATCAGGTGGTTAATTAAAATGATTTATACTTCCAAAATCCAGAAGCTCATTCCTCTATATCACCATAACCTTATCCTGTGAGAAGCTGACTGACAATTTCCTTCTCCCCCAGAAAACACCTTGTAGATTCAGTGTACAGGGGTAAGCACCATTTTTCACAAGACTAAAACCTACACAGGTTGTTCTTGAAATAAGAATTTCTCAAATATTAGTCACAGTATATAATTATCACATTATGCTTCACATGGGCAAGCCCAACACTCAGATCTAGTGTTCAGTCTTTTATGTTAATAAGCTTTCATTCTGTCATCTTGGCATATCCACTTTTATACTCTGGGCATTGTGAAATACCATTAGAAAGTTTTTTCCTCCTATTATTTTTCATATTTTTGTATACACTTCAATCCAAGAGATAGTTAAGTATTTTGAAACTAACCCATGGCAAGTAAATGGGATGACAGCAGTTAAACATTCTTACCTCTATTTCTCTCATGCTGAAGACTTCCACACCACACTTTTTGCCACGTTCCACAAGATCCACACCAAAAGAATCCATAATAACAATGGTGTTGAGTATTGGAGTTTCTCCCTTTTCCACACTGGTTAGCAGAAGTTTGGCCTTGTCAGGTTTGTCACAGAAAACCAATGACAAGTCAGCTGATGAAAAAGAACTATATTATCAACATGACAAGTTCAGTTTTGACTAGATCCATCCATACATCAGTATGTCACAATGGAAGGCTTTTCTGAAGAAGGCTACAGTTCTGCCCTCACTCATCACACATCCATTTGCTGAGCTACTGAAGGTGTCCTACCTTTGTTCACAATGTAGGTAATAGCTTCAGCTCCCAGTGTATCATAGAGTGGCACCACCACCATGGAGAATGCATAGCATGCCTGTTCAATGATGACCCACTGCACAAAGAGAAGCGATGAAAGTCACTATGTTTGGCTTATTGTAACAAGCCTCCAAGAAAGATTCATATTTAAAATGTAGCTTCCTTCTAACAAGGAGGCTAATAGGACACAGCTCATGTGGACAAATCTTTCTAAAAAGTAAGTGGCAGTTTGTATTGCTTTTTCACTTTGAAGACCTACTCAATTTTTATGTGGGAGGAAGGAAAAAATGCCCAAATAATAAGGAGCTATAGGAAAGAATCCAATAAAATTCAACACTATCCCTAAAAGTAATACTAAGTACTTTTGAAAAAATCATTTAACAAACTGTCTCCTTAGTTTACCTACTAACAGAAAGGCCTTGAGCAAGAATACCGTATTTTTTATTGGTTTTATGTTATTGAGGTTGGCAAAGCTTTCAATATTCCATATTACCATGAATCAGTGAAATACTCATGTCCTGACCACATGTTAAATTTATATGCACACAGTGTTCTTACCCCTATATTATGTGCATCTCATTTGATGGTCAGGCATACAACACATGCAATTAAAGTAAAAGTCCTTTGGAGAGTCAGCCCCAGAATGTTCCTTAGCGTTTCTCAACACTAACCATTCCTCTTTATAGAAATCTAATATGAAGACTTCTATTAAAAAAATGCAATTACATCCCTGCAAGCTGCAGTAAGAAGGATTTACATGCTAACAAGTATAACAATAACCATAATGAATATTTCAGCCTTATGATGTGCTATATAGTTATGCTTTACAGCCAGCCTATTTTCAGCCAAAGTACCATTCAAGGTAAGACAGTAATGCAATTCTTTTTTCTAATAGTAACTCTTGGGTGTATTTTGTAACCAACTAGCTAGACCAAAATACAGAATAGCATGCAACTCCTCAAATCAGAGCCTCCAGACACAAAGAGGAGGCCAGTGAGACTAGAACATTTCTGATTTTCCAATCAAAGACTGACAAAAATTCTCAGTACCTTTAGTCTGTCCAAATGACAGGAACAAAATAGCATGCATCTTAAAACCTACCAGAACTTAAAATTCAACAAGCTTTGCACTAACAGAGGTGTTTCCTTTCCCCTCCCCCAAGCTGTTACAATTTCCAGTGTTTTTGCAGGACTAGCCAGCCACCTCACTGCCACATGATGACAAGTTTAAACATGATTCAGCTAATTATTCAATAAAATATCTAAGAGAGATTATGTCAAAGTTGCCCAATCTCAGTTTTACAAACTGTTTATTAGGGCCAGTTTCCCAAAGTACTTGATTGATTCAGCAGCCTTAAACACAGGAAATTTTTCTGACAGCATTCATGCAATGGGTAAGTTGTACACCTCCTGTCCAAAAAGACTCCTTATAAAACTAGTACAAGGCCAGCTAACAGCTAACTAGAGTTTCATGAAGACATTACACATACTGGTAAGTCTAAGCAGGCACATTTATAATAGCCATGAAAGGGTGCACTGAATAGTTCCTACTAAACAGCGTCCTCCAGGACTTGTACCAATGGACAGCTGTGCTGCTGTTCAGCAGCCAGAAGTTTAGAAGTTATTTTATTAAGATGGGGGTCTACTACAAAAAGACTTCAGAAACTGCACACACCAATAAAAGCTTCCTGTTGCAGCCTCCAACAACTCTTGCACATCATCATTCTCAATGGTACAACCAGCATCTTTATTTTCTGGGCTACCAATACACTTTTCCATTTTCCTTCTAAAATTATGAGTAAATATAAATATTAAACCCTGACACTCAAGTTCTCTCAAAGCCCAAGCAAGCAACTAGTACTAAATATAGACAGCAGTCAGACTTTCAGTTTCTTTTCTGACATGGCTCTGATCTTCTGCTAGGGGAAATCATGCTTCATTGTTGTGATTTTTCTCAATCCAAAACAAAACCTCCCCACTTCCAGAAGAGATGCCTGTTTTCCAAGAACTCAAAGAGAAAGTAATACTTTTATTTACAAATGCAAGTTTTGGTGTTGCTAGGATTTTCCCCATTAGGGGATTTCCCCAGAAGTTGTTCCCTATAATAACAAATGTGAATCATTTCACACACACACACTAAAAAAACCCTTCACATATTCTCCTGTCTGGATTAGTAACCATAACTGGAATGTCACAATACCCATCCAGTAGTTTTGTGCAGGGAAAATCCCAGATTTAAAATTGCTGGTTTAAACAAATCTTTTCAGCTCATTCCTGACCCAACTCAAAGCAACGCAACTTAAGCATTTTATCTCTGTGATCCATGAGCAAAATTCCATTTTCTCCTCCAGAAATTCACTAACCCAGCAGAGACTCTGCACACAAAGATCTACAGAGAAACAATTCAAACTGGTGCAACAAAAACATCTGTGTCCCTCTTTTACTTCTGGTTCATTACATCATATGCACAGGAAATTGAACTGTATGGTCTGTAGCTCCATGTTATTTAACAGCTTCCTAATTGAATATATCTCAGCCTTGTTTATTACAGAAATAGAACTAAAGCTGTTAGAAATAGAAAACCATCAGGAAAACCCAAGAGCTTGGGAGCTTCTTAGGGTGTAGGTTGAGAGAAAGAAGGAAGCCAAAGTCACTTGTCATACAGCTTGCATTTTAGTGACAAGAGACCAAGACACTGGTTGAGCTTCCAACCCTGTCAGAACTGTGGATGTCCTTTGATAATTGCAAACACAAATGGGAGTGCTGAATCAAGAGGGACAGCATCCTTTTGATAAAGGGTAAGAAGCAGTCCCCTGTCTTTATATAGGTTTACACTGAACTAGCTTAATGCAGCAAGTACTAGCTCAAACTACTAAACACAAACCTAGGTTAGAGAAATTTAGTCCCACCAAACAGATCTAATAAACAAGTGTAGAGAACATATACTTACTGAATATTGCATAATGCTTTTAGAAAGGGAAATCTAGAGCCACTTCTGGGTTAAAAAGGATACGGCATTACCAACCTGAATATCCCCATAGCTGTCTCACATGATCTTTAATTGTGCCAGTTTTAGTCTTTCTACCCATTTTTATTAAATTAATTTCCAATTTTTGCCTTCAGCAGTAGTTTTCCCTTACCAGAATCTTTGTGCCCAGAGCCTCCGGCAGAAACGGAATTATCACCTTAACACATTTTTGTCCAAATATTTAATCACTGTTTCTCTGTGTTTTAAAAGTTTAAACACCTCCTTGTGATTTCCTGTCACTTTCAACTATTTAGGTTCTTCAATGTTACTTTTTAAGAGAAACCAAGTTGTGTTTACATTCACTAAGAACTACATTCACTTCCTATTAAAAAAGCCACTGCCATAACCTGGAAACAGAAGATAATTAGTTAAGTTCTCCTGAATTCCCTGATTTTTTTTCTGCTCTCCCTCCAGCCTTCTGCATTTAGCTCTGGGGGAAAAACACAGAAAAAAACCCCAACCAAAACACAACAATACAAGACATTAACCATTGTGTCAACTACCAGAGCGGTTCTTAGCTAAAAGGTGCCATGTCAATGGCTCACAGGTCTACAGTATTAGTCTTTTGGCTTTTCAAATGGGCTCTCAGTGGGGAGGGTACACTGCCAAGAGAAAAAGGAGTAGGCCATTTTAGTAATGGCCAGATCACAGATTAAAATTTTAGTTAAGTTACCTCAGGTCTGTTTTGTGAAAAGATTCCTATGTACTGAACATGAGATGGTTTGAAGCCTCGGTGGAGCAATGCAGACCCCACATACTCAGCTCTGTCTGAAACCTGGAAGGGCAAAAGGAAAAAGAGGAAGGACAAAAAAAATAAGAGCAAGCTCGTAACTGCTAACTCTCCTTAACAATTATTAATTGGTATGAATAAGAGAGAAGTTTTTTAGGCTATTCTGGATGCCCTCTGTGACTTTGATAAACTAAACACTGCAGTGTCATTACATTGCACTGATTGTAATTATTACACTTGCACTCAATATGCAGCAGAAGTAACACTTGATTCAGTCAGACTTGAAAGTGTTAAGTCTGTAACTTAGCAGTTAAGAATTAAATTTAGAAATTCAGCACACATACACAGAAAAGGCTGTTTTGCTGTATCTGTGTTAAACCCAAGAAGCGACCCTAGAATGATTAAAAATAGTATTTCTGCTTAATCACAAGCATTACATACAAACATTATCCTTTTACTTCATTCAGTGCCTATAGAATAGCATTTCTCCCTTCAAAAATCAGAACAAGGAGGCAAAACCCACTTAGTTCTATTAACAAAGCTTAGGAAAGCAATTTTCTAAATTCTTTCTATATAGCACATGACTTGAAACCATGTTAGTCACATGACCCCAAAAGCAAAGCTTTAATAAAAGAGGTAGCACCAAACAAATTCCCAGCAAAGTCACCTTGGGAAAAAGGTGAGGTCTGTTACACACAGAAGGTGTTTAATGACCTTAACAGCATGCAATAGGCAAGGTTTATGCAAATTTGAAGACCAACTGATTAAATCAGGAACAACCTAAGTGTGCACAGCTGTAAATGGAGATTTGCATATAGATATTTTCAGGGATTAAGAAGCAGCATGCTGCTAGTTAGAAGCAGATCTGCTAGCACCCTATACAACCATCATTCAGCACTATGGAGACAAGGTGTCAGGAAGCCCAAACAACACCTGCAGATAGAACTTCTCCTGGTGTAAAGTGAGCCTCTTGGAAGCAAGCACAGTCTGAGCCCCTGAACACTACTTCAGAGCTGCTGCTGTGCCCAAGTTCTAAACAATTCAGCACTGAGATGCCAAGATAACAGTTTTATTTCAGAATTTTTGGGGGTTCACAAACCAAGTGCAGGAGATGCTATTTTTTCTTTCCCTTGCACACATTTAAGGCTGCTCCTTTAAGATACTGTAATAGGAACTAGAACCTTTCTGCAATATTCTGCTACTACTTTAAAACATAAATAATTCAGATTTCTTATATCACATTACTAGACATTGTATCAATAGTCTCAGCAAGCAAAAGCAAGTCTAGCACTAAGAGAGGTTACTTACCTCTTTATAGGAGATCCATTCATACGGCTGGTTTGGTTTTCTAAAACCTAGACATGGACCATTATCTAAAAAAATGATAAAAGTTACTCAAAATTTAACCCAAACTCCTCTGTCCTGACACCACTCTTGGTGGTAAGCCCCTAGATTCTCATCAGACACCTTCAGATGAGAAATGGGGTTTTTTCAGGGGTGCAGGGAAGGAAGTTGACAAAGGATAGAGGCAACAAAGTTGGTTTAGGCCAAGGAATACAGCACTGCCTTTATTCACAGAACTCTGTTTCACAAAATACCTGTTTAACTTGTCCCCAAGAAAATTCACATCCAGTGCATTGATCATATAGCTAGATAGAGATTCCCTATGCTCAGTTGCATTTTAAAAGAGTTCAAATATGTAGTTTTTTACATATTTAAGATAGTATCTCTAATTTTGGACTTACTTGATACTTGTAAACCCCTTTGGAAAATATCATAAACTGTTCTCACATCGTCATAGTAGTACAACAAGAGTTCGTCGCTGTTGAGAAGAGAGGACCTTCGAGCATGCTCACCGCCCTGAGGAAAAGCAATTAGAAAGGTTAGACACCCTTGTTGGCTATAAGTGAATGGGAATTGCTTGAAGGAATATTCTTGTTGAGAGAACTTGAGCTATGCAAGGGTCTCCAGGACATTGTTTCAAGAGTCAAACTGCTCCCTACATCACCAAAAATCTGCCAGGCAAAATCTTATTCCTCAGCTACCTATGATAACACAGAACAAATGAGACTGATAAAGACTAAGGACATTTTGTCAAAAAAAACCCTTTTCTTAATAAACATTTCACTCTATTAGTGAAGTATAGACCATAATTAATTTCATCAAACTTTCTAAATCCAGTCTCAGAGCTGTCTAGGCAGAAAATTAATGGTTCAATACAAATCTATTTTTCTAGTTAAGATTACAGAACATAAACACACTTCAGTATGTGGTTTCAAACCCTAAATGATTTTAAGCATGATCACCAACACTCTAAACAAGTGTTCTAATAATCAAAATATTCTGTCCCACATAGAGTCCTTTGATCCAATTAAAAGTTACATCTTACAAAAAAGGGTTTCCTCCTGATTTATTTAAACAGTCAAGACAATATTATGTTAAAAATGAAAATTAACATTTTTGAGCTGTTGAATATTTAGATAAGATGCAACTAGAAGACAGTACAATAATTTAATAGTTCAATTTTAACACTACCTTTTTTAAAGTGACTGATTAAATAATCTCATTTTATAGAGAGCAATCAAGTTTCACAAACTACAGTTATGCAATTACTATTAGGCCGCAGCTGTTAATTAGTCCTGTTATGATGACAGACACCTACAAGCAAGTTCTTATCAAGAACAGCCCAGCTGGTTAAACAGAGGGTCTTGAGTAAACACTGCATAAGATTTTCTCTACCAGCATAATCAATTTCTGGCTCTTTCAGAAAGTCAAACCCTTGATAATTCAGGCACAGATTTAGTTAGTCTAGCATCCATAATTAAAATTTGTTCATATGTAGTCATAGGTTCTTCTTCTGTTTTCAAAGTATTCTGGAGGACCAGACATTACCTGTTCCATGTATAAGCTACATAAATACAGGTTTATGTACAGAAGATGTCGTATTACCCACGTCTATAGAAATCAGTTAGCACATTAAAGGCACAGAGAGGAAAAAATATTTTTACACTAAAACAAGCCTAACTTGTTTTAGCAAAACATATGAGTAATGCAGTGCTTGCCACTCCTTTGACAGCAGAAACGTACACTGTGAACATGACCCAGAACAAGTTAATGAGTGGCTTACCTCTAAAAATTTATAACATGAGAAATTCAAGAGTGTACTTGCTCTCACAACAATCTACTCTACAGGAAATTAACAGATCACTAGCACATGTCTCTGCCTGGAAAGAAAAGCAAGACTGCTTGCTTTATTTCACTGGTTTCTCTGATCTTGGATAATCAAGGTCATCTTATAGATTTTCCCAATGTTGCCACTCTGGAGCTAATCTAAGAAAGATCACACAATGTAGTTTGTTACCATGGCCACAGGCAACATCAACAAGTGCAATGTATCACATGTAGCATGTCTGATGTGCTATAATTCCTACATCAGCTGAAATACAATAGCCTAAGCCATTCCTCAGCAAGAGTCAAGAAGTATTTGTTTCTCCTCATGTGGGCTACTACTGTTTTGTTTACATGCCCTATTACACAGCACCACAAAAGCAATTTTTTCAGGGCCTGAGGCACAAACCAAATTTGAAGATGAGTTATCAGACAGTACACTGCTTAGATACAAGACTGATAGCACAATCCTTCTGAAAAAAGAGACACTCTGTAACAGACTACTGTTGACAAGTTCCCCGCAGTTCATACAGGTTTTTGGTAAGGGGAAACAAACAGCTTTCAGTTTTGCTTACTTTGTTCTTTTTCCCCTAGTGAAGTAGAATTAACTAGATTTTCAACAGTCTTAGCATAAAAGCTTTTCTGAAAAACACCCAGCTCCTTGTGTGAAGGCCGTAAGTTCCGTGTTATTGATGCAGCAATAACTCCCAGATATATTGAAGGTCAAACCAGGAGCATAATGCAAAACTAAGTCATCTACTAAGCAATAAAACTCATCTACATTTTGCGTGAAAGCAACAAGAACTACTATTTTAAGACCTAATCTAAATGGACTTTATCCAGAATGTTTGTGCAATATCAGGGAAAGTTCTGTTTGCAGCAAGCTTGTTTAAAATTCACATTACCACCAGGTATCTGAATCCCAGAACTGGAATGTTCAGCTGACTTCATACAGGTTAGTTGAATGGCATCTAATAGATCTGTCCAGTAAAATTATAAGCAATCAAAAGGGTTGTCAGTTTTAATGGGTATTCTTAAAGTAGCCAGGCAATAAAATCAGATTAATTTGAGAACAGATTCTAGTTACTTGTGTAAAGCAGCCCTTGAAGCAGCTCAGGGACTTGCAGGAAATTAACCTACTGCATATCAAGTGCTAGTCAATAAGAAAAACCTTGGCATTGGTTAAAAATAGCATTTGAAGGAAACAGATTTATTCTACAGCAGAGCATATTAGGCCTCTATCAAGGCCTATTCAGGTCACAAAGTATCTGCTTTTGTTCAAGCCATGGGTTTGCTTCTTGTTGACAAAGGCTTCTCAGGACTAGCAGTAATGTGAAAACACACTGTGTGCTCCAACATGCCTCAGAGACATGAGAAATTTTTCTTTACCTGTGAGAAATTTTTCTTTACCTGAGAGGGAAAGTATACTAGCAAGTGGTGCTTAGGTCACCAACATACTTATTCTGAGCAGCAAGCAGTATAAACCAGAGTTTTCAAACCACCCATATAATTTAAGGCATAAAAATATATTAAGTATTAATTATAAATTAAGTAACCATACAGTATTAATTATAAATTAAGTAACCATACAGCACCTGAAACTGATCATTCATAGGGAGATAAGCACATATGTAATCAAGTGATTCTTGAAAGGCAAGGCATGCTGGAATTCTGGTAATGTATCAGAAGAATGTCAGAAGACTTGAAAAGTTTTCATGAGTTGAATACTTCTCTCCCTATTTGAATAACTTTTCTTAAGGGAACAAAAAAGGCAGTCAAATCCAGTCTTACTCCTAGAAAATACTGACATCCTAATATTTATTTCTATTCTGTTTTTCTGTATAGCAGAAGTTGGGACAAATAAAAGTTTTTAAAGCAAGATTTAATATATTTGATTGCCATACACCTCCACACAAAATCAACAGCCCAAGTTATTCAGCTGTTAGTCACCAGTGGAAAGAAAGAAAGAAATCTACAGGCAGACAGATCCAGATGTGGATGACACATCCCTGGAAGTGTTCAAGGTCAGGCTGATATGGGCTCTGAGCAGCCTGGTCTAGTGCAATGTGTCTTTGCCACTTGAGTAACTCTTTGCACTCATTTTCAACTATGTGTGCAATCTTTATGTTCATCCAGGGATGGTTCACCCAGGTCACTGGGTGCTGGTCTACCAAAACAAAACCTTCAAGAGATGGGAAGTGACCTGGAAAAACTGTAAATGGGATCTTTCTTCTCCCATATGAAGTTATGAAGATACGTTATGAGAACATGTAGAAACCCTATTCCAGTCAATGACCTCACTTATTCCCTTGGCATGTAACAAAGTTAAGTCAAAAGTAAGAATTATGTAGAAGTTTATTTCTAGCTCAAATTTCTTACTGTAAATGAACAGGTAGATTAGATAGTAAAATGGTAGCAAAGAGGCATTGCCTTCTGCCATGTCTTTTTTTGAGCAACTGCTCAGGCCTTTTAATATCATATTGTTTAGGCAGGAAAAATAAAAGTTAAGACAATTTCAGAGCAGTATTTGATTTTTTTTCCCCTGTACAAGTGACAACTCAACGTATACATGAGAAAATGGATGAAGTTAAATTTTAAGCAAAATTTTGTGAGAACCTGAATACCAGGCACTGTATTAAAATCTTGTCGCTGTTGTAAGAGCAGAAATTCCAACAGACACTTGAAACTTGATCCAAAACATACATTCTCATTTGACTACCATTTTAAACATTATTAATAGTTCAGATACAGCCCCTAATGAAAACAATACTGGACAGATCTTACTGATTTAAAAAGTCCTCTAAGTCTGAGATCTCATCACTGCAACATGCTAACACCCAGGTGTTTTTCATTTAAGTCTTACTACCATTTAGCCTTCCCATTAAAACATTTTCTAAAGAGGCACTGAAAAATAATGCTGTAACACTTATCTTGCTCTGATCAGAGAGCCAATTAGTGTGATTGGATCAATGATGCATTAAGTCGCTTAGTGAAGTCTCATACCACCAAAACAATGATTTCAAATCTCAGAATCCAGCAGTGACAAGTAATACTATTTGAAGAAACAAAAGGAGTGAACTGAGACTGCTGTCAAGAGTCTCAAGCAAATAAGTATTCATCATGGGATTTATGGACAGCTAAGAGCTACTGTCTTACCATCTTATAATGCAATGTCCCCCAAAAATCTGCTGACGTTTACACTACCTAATGAGGCACTCCACAGCTGGAAAACTTGCGCTGCTACCTCATTCCAGCAACCAAAATATCCTGTTTACAAGGCTATTCTACCCATTGTCTACATGTCTGCTGTCAGAATTGGAAAAGCTCACCAAGAGAAGTGAGATCCAACTTCTAGATCCTTACTCTAGACATGTTGCTTGGATATAGGTGGTTTTTTGCCAGTTATCACATTGCAAGTGCATATTTTTGTTTCCCTTTTGTGTACTTTTAGTAGCACATCACTATTTGCTACAGTAACATGATGTGTCAGTAAACTTGTATGCTCCACTGAGATTAGGAAATAAACTGTGAAGGGAGCAGCCAACTAGTGTATTATTCTTCAATCTCAATAATAGTATGAAACATTAAAAAAGTGCCAAAAATTCATGAAATTGACCTACTATAAATTTCAAATGCTGCCACATTTGTTTACACCAGTTTGTAGTCACATCTGCTCTTCGGCGCAAGAGTCCTGTTAATTCATTTGATACATGACAACTAGATGCAGTCTATCCATGCAGAAGAATGTGGTGTACAAGGAGACTTCAGTTCCAAGTATAAATATATATATATAGAGAGAGAGAGGTAGTTTCTGACTATTATGAGGCAAGAAGCTTGTCAGCTTTCCAATTCTACATTTTCTAAGTCTCTCCCTTAAAGATCACAACCTTCCAAAACTCTCCTTCCTTTAAAAGGAGAAAACAACTTGTCTATCCTGAAGAAAGAACACTCTTGAAAGAATAAATATTTGACTCTGTAGTGAGCAGGAAAATCAATACAACCGCAACTCCTAAAAACATCAGCCTTACAATCAGTAGTCTATATTTGCTCACAAAGCAACAGTTTCTCCCAGTCAGACCCTTTCTGTATTTAATTTCATTTTTAAAAAGTCACTACCTAAAAGTAACTGTGCCTCTAAAAAGTGTAAAACGAAAGTTAGCATATCTAGAGTTTAGCAGGTGGCTGGTTTAATTTCAACTTACTCTATGGCTGGGATCTCTTGGCAGACTAATATTTCTTTCCACAGATCATCTGAGGACAATTAGTACCCTCTTCATGCTTGTAACACAATATAAAGTCTCATGTGTCAGCTATTATACACTAAAAATAACAGAAGAGTATAGTCTAATCAGTATATACCAGCATACTCATTCTGACCTCAAGAACTAATTTAATAGGTCATCACGTGGCCAGGAATTGAAAACTATACTGTGCCAATTCTAACATGAATAAGTTTTGTCACTAGTGAGATCAGAAGCTCAGTTGTCTCAGCGGAGTCTTTTTCTCCTGTGATAGTTATTTCCTCAGCCCTCAAGCTGGTTTCCAAATTCAGAAAGCCAAAATAGTGAGTTCAAGCCACATTTCAGAAACGCATACTCCCCACACTACCGGTTTAGAAACTCCCTATTGTAAATCAAGGGTGATTTGATCAAGTGTTTGGTATCTCTCAATGCTGCATTTAGGGTTCAAATTTCAGTGAACTACAGCATCCATCAAGTGGCACTTACCTCTACTTCCACAGACTGCATTGCTAAATCACATGGTGGTTTTAGTGCTTTTGGTCTTGTTGCATACCAGTAGGTTGTGAGAGCTGCAAAAGCACCGAAGCCCATCAGCGTATTTGTCGGAAGGGTGCGCACATACTGTCGGACATCCCCAAGTTCTGGCATTCGTAGGTATCTAAACAACTCATGTGCTTGCATTTCAGTTCAGTGCAGTTGTTCCAATGCTGGAATCTGTCGGTATGAAAAAAAAAAAGTTGCACAAAAAAATCTGAAATCCACTTTGATTCACTGTTGCTGTAGGGCACCAGTGTATACTCTGTCTACTGGCTTCCCGCTATCAAAATAACTTGTTCTGCTGCTAGGCAGGCAATATCTTTAGATATCTGTGCTGCAATTAAGTAAACAAGCAATTATTAGTTCATACTCTAGAAAAACAGGTAGAGCTGAGAAGGAATTTATTCAGGGTTTTAGTATTGCTTTCAACAGCAACTGCACTCATTTTTTTAAAAAAAGGAAGACCTTTTGTTAAAGGAGAGAATTTCACAAATGTAAAACAGTTATTTGTAGAGCAGATGTACTGTAAGATTGTTTAAACAGTTAATCATCAAGCAGGGAAGTCTGGGAAATGAAGGGCAAGGACATATGTTACCTTGCCTACATGTAACAGAACATCCCAGTCCTATAGGAGCATAGCAGGAGCACAATCTTTCCTTTCCCAAGTCTGGTAAAATAAACTCTTTTCTACTTTCCCTTCAGACATGCCCAGAAAGATCAGTACAGCAAGCTGCTTTCATAGCCAATATCCTCCCATAGCTCCTCCACGGTACTTAGCAAGTTTCCTATTTCTCCCAGCGCCATGCCAGTAATTTATCTCTGGTCATAAGGCAGACTAAAGCAGTGGCAAATGAGGCCCAAGGCAGCGGCACGCAGCAATACAATCAAGCACAGGAAGCACATTTGATTTGTCACGTTCACACAGAAGGAAGAGCTGGAAGAGGCTGCTCCCTGCCAGCACTCACTGACACGGATACTCCACAGCAAGAACCAGCTGCAGAAAGAAGCGGTAGGGCAGTCAGCTCAGCTGGTGCTCTCCGGCACAGCCAAGGTCTCCCGGGACGCGTGTCACATGGCAAAGCCCCCGGCCGATGCCCACTGGGTGAGAGGTGAGCGGCAGCAGCCGGCCCGCGCGGGGCCAATGGCAGCCGGCAGCGCCCGGCCCGCGGCGCTCACCCCACCGCGCTCAAGGGCGCCCGCGGGCCCCGCACCGCACGGCCGCCACACACACAGCCGCGGCTGGCGACGCCGTCCCGCTCGCTTGAAGAACAAAGAGATGGATTTACTTAGGTCATTTAGGTCCTAGCTGTTTCCTAGGGAAAACAGAATTAAACCAAAGTCCTAGAGAATGTTAAAAGAGGTAGCTAACAGCTAAATCATCCTGTGTAAGGAGCCACCGCTGAAGGATGGTGGCATATGAGACTCTGAAACCTCAATGGGCAGAATTACAAGTTTTAAGAACAACACTACTCAGTTAACATTTTATATTTCTACAGGAAAATCTCTACTTTACAGTCTGACCTTGAAATCTTTACTGTTGCAATCAGTTATTCAGCCAGACAACAGAAACACGGCCTAGTTCACAAAAAGTCTAACTAGTATTTGGACAAGATTTGCTAGAGACAGCAAAATAGTAATAAAATTAGTTCAAAGGGCCCATGCTTTCACAATGTTAACAGGACAGGCTGAAGCAAGGTCATGGATGGGGGGGCAGTGTCAGGACTGGAATCAAGTTCCATCTCTGGAACAGTCCTGGACCCATGGAGTAATCCCCAGCCAGCAAGCACTGCTCTCTTTTCCCCACACTTTTATTTTCTGGCATAACCTTCGGGCACAGGGCTGTATCACCTTGACTGGCAGGACAGGACCACTACAGAAATGCCTTTTCGTTATTTGCACAGTGATATACAGCAGACTATAATCAAAACCCACAACACATCAGACTGTAGTAACAGAAAGTTGAGATGATCTGAATATATAAACAAGCTCATCATCTTCCATTTTTTAAAAAGGAGTAAGTTATTGACATAATAGCTAGGATCACCATGTGGTTGTTTTTTATGCACCTAATCATGTTCATTAACATTGCAGGTGCAAAAACTACTTCTCAAGTTTTACTATACACAGCAGAACAGTAAGAATAAAAAAAACCCTCATACACCAACAAAGTCTGGACTTAAAAGTTAATTTCACATATACTCCATCATAGGCACTGAGTTATGAAACTAGATAAGGGGGTCTGTGATGTGTGTAATGGCTAAAAGCAAGTTTAGCTCTTTCCTCAAGCTCCCCAATGAGCACCTTTGACTTTTAAAACTGCTTTCCTGTCTGCATTAGTCATGAAGTGTCCTGCACACACACTATGATTTAGGAATGCAATGTAACTTGAATTACTCAAAAGGCTGTGATGCCTTTAGAGGTAACAAGACTGAAGTAAACATCATCCTTTAATTCACACAACAGTCCCATTATAGTCAAGGATCAGCTATGATTTCAGCCTGCATGAAGAGGTGCACACCTCTGCTTTTCATTTCCTTGAACAGCTGTTTCTAGGGAAGCCTGCAACATAAAACTTTTCTTGAGCAGTTATACCACAAGTTATCAGGCATACGATACATTCTGCTGCTTATGATTATATTGAGATATCTTAGTATACCCTCTGCCTCGTCCACATAAAAAACAAGGTGAGACACAGTTTTCTGCCAAGACTAAGCAATTCCAAGCTTTAACACTACCTGTTAAGTCATATGAACTCTTGTCTTCTGCATTTAGGGCAAAGCCATGTAACCAAGACAATAAATTCACATTCTTAACATATGCATCCAAATATACCCCGTCAATAAAAGAGGCTTCAATGCCTTCCAGCCTTCAAGTCATCTCAGTATTTACTTGGCTTATGCTCCAACATCAGACATCCTGGGTTTTTATCATGACCAAGGAGAACGGTTTAGAGCCTTCACACTGAGATACAAAGATCTTCACAGTGGAGCTTGCATCTGGCTTTCAGTTGTTCTCCTCAAGGAACAGTCCTGCTAAGTTTGCTCACTCAAAACAAGTACAAAAAGCCACGCTCTCTTCACAAATTCTAGTCCTGCAATTCCGTCTTGGCAAGCAGTATCTGGAACACAAGGAACAGACTCAAACTAAGTGAGACACAGCTGAAGACCAAAAGGAAGGAGATGCCAAGTGAAAAGTACCAGTCTGTAATACTCAGATTGCTACGTGTAGGGGGGAAAGAGCAGAATTGACATTTGAGGTCAAAAGCACTTCTTCCTCAATGTCATCAGTAGACCCTGGTCTTTTTTCTAAAAGACCAGAGGGAAAGCAGTGTGGGTAATGAGTTAAAACTGCTTCAGAGAAAACTGTCTTGACCACCTCCAGAGAAACAGTTCCCCCAGTGCAGCCCAAAAAAGGCACCCCTCTGAACTCACCATATCAATTTGGCTAAGGAGCACTGTAAGTTTCAGACAAAGCCAGCTCTCTCTGCTCACACACACACACCCCCTGCCGCACCCAAGACTCATTCTTTACAGCACAGCCAGTATCTCAAGGCAACGACCCAAGTTGGCAGGGCTCTGCCGTTCTTTGCTGCTCCTACTCTCGGCGTACAATGGTCTATTTACAGTGGGCAGCAGTCTGCCTATTGTCTATCCATAGCCAGACATCGTTTGAGTGCAACGGAAGAGAACAGGAGAGCAGCCTCAGCTTCTGTATTGCAAAGAAAACAACCCCAAGAACCAATGGCCTTTCTTTCTCTCTATTCTAATATTTAGATAAACAACACGCTAGCACTGCCATAAAGGCAGGTCCATCACATGGTGTAAAAGAACAGGCTGTATTATTTCTACAGCCTCTTGCAGGGAGAAGAAATCTACAAGACAAGTTGCCCACCTCTTATTATGAGCAATATAGCACTAAGATGTTTTCATTATGATATGCTGAAACAGGGAACCAGCCACCCACATATCTTTGAGTTGTCCTGACAGCTACCTGCCACTGCAGTCTGTTTTTTTCTTACCCTTACAGGTTACACTGCACAGCTCCCATGGATCTCATTTTTTACTTAAGCCTTTCTCCATTCAGCCTTTGAAAGAACAAGCACAGAATCATGTTCTAGCCCCTTTATTATGTACAAAAAAACAGGCAGAACAAATAGCTTTGGCTATTAACCTGAGAAATCCTTTTGTCAGAATAGAATACATAATCCTAATCTCAGAGTGCATTTATAATCACCTTAAATTTGAGTCAGTCCAACCTGTCCTAGATACATGCTCTCTCAACCCTGTCCACACTGGCCAGGCAGTCACAAGGGAGGTGATCTGGCAAGAAACATATTTCTACATTATTTGTGATGCAAATTCTCAACTAGATCAACTCTCGGCTCAATGACCAGATAGCCATTAGCTCCCAGAAGGAAACACAAGAGCACATCTGGGGAAGAGGGTGGACTACTGTAATACTACACACCAGGCACAAAACTGCATGCAAGTCCTCACAAGATTTTCTGTCTGTCCCACAGTCAGAGAGGAATCTGACTGAGGTCTTGCAAACACCTGCAACATAGCTGAACTAACCAGCAAGCAAATCACAATCACCTTCAAGATACAGCAAAGGAGCTTTGGTATTTGAGACCTGAAGAGAAATCCCAGTTTAAGCCCTGTATAACAAACAGGACAGCAAGATTCCTACTCTGGTGCAGCCTGTCATGTCATACATGACTCCTCAGCCAGAGAAGATTTGTATGAATGAAACAAATACGTTGAACTGTCTAATCCACTACCTATGACTTCCTCCTCCTCCATGAACTCTGTCTCATCCCCTGGCCCTTCCCCAACTTAAAAAAATGAATTATCTTACCCAGAAAAAACCTAGTTCACCCAGCCAAGCAAGAGAGCTATAAACCTTTCTTTCAAAGCAGTAACCGACATATTTACCTTCCTGCTAGAGTAAAGAGGAATGAACTAGAGAACTGCTAATAAGGAATATACCCCAGGCAGTAAGAACCACCAAGTCCTTAATATCCACACCTGACATCCAACTCCTCCTCAGCTCAGAACCATGTGGCATCATGCATTGGGGTATAGGTTGCCTCTACTGGTTCAGTTTCTGTTCCTGTATTTGGGGTAAGGCAGAGCTGGAGGGGAACAACCTACAAGCTGGATTCAGACCCATCAGTAAGGCCACGGTGACTTACTTCATAAACTGCAATCAAATTTAAGGCTTCTGCTGCACTCTTTAAGGTACACTAAATCTGAAACTGGCGTGTCAAGGTTCTGTTCACATCATCAAGGAAAGTCACAGGCTTGTCCTCGGATACTTGGCCTCAGTCCCCTTGCAATCAAGTGGAATTCCACCTGGATTCTTGCCTCTCAGTGATGTCCAGTAAGTAATTTGAGTGCACACTGGTGAGGTCACTAGAGTTTATTCAAGTTCAGGAGTTGAAACACGTGACAAGAAGCTGTTCAATGCCTTTTGTGCAATTGCTGTCCTCCAACATTTGGTAACCCTGTTATAAAGGGAAATCAACACCTACCTCTAAAACCTTTCAGAGAATGATTAAGTTACCTTCAATCCGTGCCTATACATACACAACATGGCACTAAGCAGTCTTACCAGTTTCTCATCTCCAAAAGCCAGATAAGATGCCTACAAATATTTGTTTTTCAGCCTACACTGCTATCTATTAGAAATGCATCCCTGCAACTCTAATTTGCAAGTACATCATGGCACTACTCTGTCAGTCTAGCGTCCTCATTCCAAACACCATTTAGATGAAAAGCACCCTACAGAACCCAACAGCTTTCCTGTGGTATGATCTACTCAGCTTGAGTAGATCTTACCAACTTATTCATTCTACTCCCCCCAGGAAAAGGATACTATTCAGAAAGCCCAGTATGCAATATCAAGCTAACACATGGTTTAATTGCTTACTTGAGACACTCTGAGAAGGAGTTTCTCACTCACACTTCTGATACCTGAACTGTCACAGAAGACAACCTGGGTCAGGCACACTAAGCCCCACTGCATCACACTAGATAGTGTTTACATCCAGCAGGTTGTTACAAAAAATATAACCCTTCACACTCTTGAGACTGGAAGATCAGCAAGTACCCATGAGAACCAACTGGTTCACTGAGTGACCTCCCAAGACCAGCAGCCCAAAAAACAGCATGACAAACAGAGCAACCTTTTGACCTCAAGTATTAAAGTACACCTGCATCTACTCTGAGTCAGTGATAGTAAGCATTTTCTTCTCGCTTTCCTAGGAAACTACTTAACCGTACCAGGCTATTATTGTAGTCCAACTGCAGAAGCCCGTTCTGGGTTCAACAACAGTAATAAAAAAATAAAGGGAGAAATCCTCTTCTAGAAATAGGATATCATGCACTTCTGCTATAGCATTTCAATGGTTCAACTACAAAAGCAAAATCCATTTTTCCTCTACATCTCTATAAAATAATGCAAGCTGTTTTCAATCAGTTTTGAGCAAACTACCACACCACTAAGAGTCAAACCCTAACCAAAAAAGAAGTATTTTACTATCATAGAATGGTTTGGGTTGAAAAATACCTTAAAGATTATCCAGTTCCAAACTTCCTGCCAGGGACGGAGAATCATACTTTACCCTGTGTAGATGAGTAACTCTCAACGTGAAAGGCAGCAAGAGAACAGCAGCCTTATGCTATCAAGTGTCCTTGTTTCAGGAGTCAGGTGGGATCTGTAGAAATGCCAGCCCCACATCCGCAGATAGGGTTCAGCCTACAGCCTGTAAAGGTCAGCACTGTACAGCAGAGCTACCCTGAGCCACACAGCATTGCAAACTCCCCCACAAAACCATTCACCAACGAATAAACCATCACCCATCTTACTTATGAGGATTTCTAGGAGGTTACGACTGGTTATATTTACCACAGTGAAATATTTAACATATCTGAACTCATAATTTCACATAGCAGGGTAGTAGGATATACCAGGCAGTCTGTTCATTAGACCACCAGAAGCCAAATTTATCAAGCAATGCATCTCTTGGGCCAGAACATCCCTCTCGTCTCTGCTACACATTCGAAAAATTTCATGCCATTAATTTCCTTCAATCTACTTAATTCCATCAACCACATTATCGAGAAAAATAAAACACAAGAACCTATTATTACCTTCTGTTGTCCACATTAGTAAAAGTGTTGTTTTCTTGGAGGGATTATAAAGAGAAAAGGAACCTTTTACTCTGCAATGGAGAGCAACACACTATTTCAAAGTTGTCTTTCCCTCCATTTTAAACTGCTGGTTTTGTTTTTCTACCAATACTAGCCTTGTCCTTGAAGCAAAAGGCTACTTGGGGGTTTCCTTCTGAAAAACTAAAGACTTGCTTCCAACCTCATGTCAGCCAAGTTGTAAAACAACATTTACCAAATTTAGAAGCTACCCCTCATAAATTCATTGTAATCATGCAGTCCTCAGACTAGGCTAAGGCTGTTTGCTCAAGACCTTGAATTGATAACACTACACACAACAGCTTCTTGTAATGACAAGCTTTAGCTCTTTCCCATCAGCCATCTTTCAAACACTTCCCCATCCCAATACAAGCAAGCTACATATCCTTAAACTTTAAAAAGGCAGTAACAGCAAGGGTCCGTGAGGAACTCTATGTATCAATTTTTGCATTATTAATACTGCTATTGTTTCAAGAGGAGGAGATAGGTATTTTTCAGTAAACTCAATGCCTCCTTATACTCAATTTCTTGATCCAAGAAATCTGATCCAAATCTTCCTCAAGCTGAGGAATCTCAGCTTGTAAGTTTGAGAGCACGTTCCAAGGCAAAAAGGCAGTAATAAACTCTCCTGATCAGGTTCAGGAGAGTGCATGATTCCCTGTAAGGCAACGGGGATGAAAACAGAAAATCTATTAACACCACACAGATGAGGTCTGTTCTTTCCTATCACAGAACCTGACCATCATATCTCGTTTGCTAACCCAAGAGAGGCATATGTTTAGATTATATAGTGCAAGAGGGTGTCCGTAATACTCCAGACAGCTCACAGACATGCCCTTTAGAAATTCTGAAGGCTTCAAGTGTTGCAATTCCTGTTCAACAGGACCAAGAAATGTATGCATCCTAGAACAAAAGCGTCGTGTAACCAGGCTAAATCTCTATGCTGTAGCACTGCAAGTCCTACCTAGTAGCAGAGGAGGCCTACAAAGTCAAAGCCACTCAACCTTCCATTTTAGGCCAGTTTGGCTCACGCTGCATTTCCATACACACTCCAAACTGCTTTAAAAGAAGAAAAGGCTGCATCAAGTACATGCTGCATTCATGCCCGAAAGAACAACCCACTCGAAGGCGAAGTCCGGCGGCTAGACGAAGGCGAAGCCTCGGGAGCAGGAGGCAGCACGGCGCTGCCCAGCCCGCTACCTGCTGCTCGGCCCGAGCGAGCTGCTCACCCCG